CAGCTCGTAGAGAATGAGACCGGTGAAGTAGGTGCCGAGAGTAGCGCTCAGAGAATCCATGTGGTATGAAATACCGACGAGGACGAGACCAACGAGGAAACCAGGCAACATGGCAATGGCCCAGAAGCGACGACCGCAGGTCTCCATGAGGAAGATGGCGGGGATGGTACCGAGGAGGAGGGAACCGCCTCCAACAAGAGACATGTAGTTGGCAGTTACAGTGTCGAAGCCGACTTGGTGCATCAGGACGGACATGTAGTACATGATGGCGTTGATACCGGTGAACTGGCCGAGGAAGATCATGATGTTGGCGTAGATGATGGCGCGGCGAGCACGCGGCTTGGTGAAGAAGTCCATCCATGGGAAGCGGTTGGTGCGTCCGGCAGCGACCTCAGCCTCTTCCATCTCAGTGCTAACCTTCATGACAAAGAACTCCTCACGAGCCTCGTGGGTAGCAGTGCCGCGAATGCGCTTCCAGACCTTGAAGGCCTCGAGAGGCTTGCCCTTGTGCATAAGGTAACGGGGAGATTCGGGCATGAAGAGGATACCGACACCCATGATGGTGGAGAAGACGAGGGAGCTTCCGAGGATGTAACGCCAGTTACCAGGCACAGTGATGAACATGGCGGCGACGGCGTAGCCAAGAACTTCTCCGAGGGCGATGTTGAACTGGTAGAGGGAGACGAGATTACCACGGAGTCTGCTCTCGACAGTCTCAGCGACGTAGACGGGTACGGTACCACCTTCGAGACCGACACCAGCACCGAGGATGACACGGGCGGCGACAATCATGCCGTAGTTCATGGATCCGGCTTCGAGCGCACCGCCGATGGTGTAGAGAATACACGAGATGATGATGGCCCAGCGGCGACCAAAGTATTCGTTGCATGGCGAGATGAGGAAGGCACCAGCGACGGCTCCGAGCGGCATACCAGAATTGACGAGCGAGTTTTGCTGGGCAGTAAGATGAAGGTCGTCGGGCAGTGTGAGGTTAGCACCAGAGATGAGCGACTGGTCCAAGCCAGATAGCAGACCACCCATGGATGCGAACGCGACAATCATCCATGTGAAATGCTTTGGGTTCTTGAACTCGATGTCGAAGAAGCCCTTCTTGTAGTTGGCCTGCTCCAACTCCTTCTCAAGATCCTGGATCAGGTTCTCGGATTCCCATCCTCTCGCATCCTCGAGTTGTTCTGTCTTTGCCTTGGGTGCGGAGTAGTCCGGTGTAGGTGCGACCTGGATGTGGTCGGCTTTTTCAGTCTGCAGAGTGTGCTGCGGCGACGAGGTCTCCTCAACCATCTTGGTGTCCTTCTCGTCCATGATGGGCAGTGATCAACAAGAGATCAACAGTGAGGAAGGGAGGAAGAAAAAGGGAGAAAGGCTGCAGCAAAAGGCTGGTATCTCACAACCCCCTCCCAAGCGGATGCATCTCCGCCCTTTATAAACCCCAGTGGAGACGACCCATGCCCATGGAGAAGCCTCCCCATGGCGCTCTCCATCCCACCACCAACGTGACGTGACGTACGCGTGGAGTCTCCATGGCACGAACGCGGCAAAAAATTTGCCTTGCGCGGATCGCAATGCCGGGGTAGTAAGCACCAGCGCAAAGCCGGTTGTTGCAGACTTATCATGGGCTGCCCAGGAAGAGTATAGACGGGTGGAGATAAACAAGCAAAGGACCGACCGCCTTGGTGGAGCTTGGCTGCAAAGAAGCTTCTAGCGCCCCACATGCGGCTCTGCGGTTGGATCCAATATTCCTGCCGAGATACTCTCCGGACAGGTGTGGAAGGTCGCGCGTGTAGTCGTCTCGAGGAACTTTGGCATACCACAGCAAGACGTCTTTATCGCTGGTATGTGAGGGCGCCAAGTTTGACATGAAGACAAGCATCGCGGAACTTGCGGCAGTGGCGCCTGGCGTAACGTTCGCGACCAGTTCTCGCTGTTCCCAAACTACCAGGCTAGGCATCTCGAACGGCCCAACCAATACCAAACTCTGCGCGCTACGCTAACAATCAACGCGCGCAATGACGTCGAACGCCCTCGTGATGTGTCAGGAAACGGCGCGAATAGCCAATTCCCCCAAGATCAGAAAGTCCATGCGTGCATCGGAATCGGATCATGGGGAGGGGGCGGGTTGGTGTGAAGGCCATGCATATCCCCTCACCATCGGAGAAAACGCTTTGCTTCGGCGCCCATGCCTGTTTGGGACGAGCCGGGAAGGGAGTGCAGAGGGCGCATACCTTACTAAAGTACGCCGTCCGACTTGTTCCGCTCCAGCCTCGTCTTCCCCCGGTTCTCCAGCCCGTGTTGTTGGGTAGGTGGGTGGAACCCGGGGTCCTCGCCTGGTCTCGCATGGCGGGTTGGGGGCTGCTTCGGGCAGAACCGGCGGCGCAGACATCACTGCTCAAGCATCCGGGAGAGAAGATGCTTAGCAGTTCTTATCGCTCCGACTGTCTTGTCGCTGAAGTCGCATACTGAACGTTATTGCTACCCATCATCCCCAAGAAAGATGGCGATATCGATAGCCGCAACTAGGCACCAAACCAGCTCAGCATTGATCTGAAAGTCGGAGGTGGACCACATCGCTAAACCCACCACCAAAGCGCCCAACATCGGACCATTCGACTCCCTCCGACATTCTAGAGCTCCGATCCAATACGCTACCACAAGAACCAATTGAAGCCATTAGCTAAAGCGGTCTCCATCCGACGAATCCATATCAAGCATCGTGAACTGCATGTGCAGGCGGTGTACCTGGTCGAGAAGCTTCAGTGGAGTGTGCCTTGACTCGGGCACCTGGAAATCCCATACCATGGCCTTGGCTACCTCAAACAGAGCTTGCATAACACAATACTCGTGGTGTACATAGATCCGCTCTGGGCTGGATCCCAAGAGTGATATTTTGCTTTGCTCTCTTCCTTTTCATGGTGGGCTTGGTGGTTAAGACTCAACCCTTCCATCACCACTGTCGCGGGCTTTGACCTGAAACGCGATGGTTTCATTCGTGTCTCGCGGCGCAATTACACTGAATTCTAGAGAGTATGGCTTTCTACCGTTACGACGCTGCGAATCGCAGCATGTTTGCGACTGTACCTAGGTATCGTCGCACAAAGAAAGACTTCGCCGCACGTATATTGACCATCGCACGAAATCCAGAGGTTTGTTCTTCACGTAGCATCAATCATCAATTCTTCGCCGTGCACTATATATACCTGGAACCCGTAGGAACCGCTGAAGAATGTCTCTGCTGCAGTAACCTCGTGCCGCAAGCGCTCATCAACAGCGCATTCGTCGCGTCATTGCACACCAACCAACCCCATCCTCTTCCTTTCACAACACCACAGTTTGGCACCTTTCTCCCCTCCCTTTTGCTTCCCCTCTCAAACCCACCATCCCATCTCCATCATCCCCCTACAACTTCGACGTCTTCTCCTCCCTGCCCACCAACCCCGGATGGCTTACCCTAACCGGCCTCGTAACAGCATAAAACGCCATCCCAGTACTCTTAGTCGAAAACTGCACCTTACTCCCCACATGAAAGAACGCAAAATCGCCCGCAACAAGATGATGCGTAATCCCCGTTGCCTCATCCAGCACATCGATCTGACCACTCAGAACATACTTCGTCTCCTCAAAGTCATAAGAGGCAGGTTTCGAAGGCCCGGCTTCGATCTTGTAGAAGCCAGATGTTAGGTGCGCGGGTGAGGAGGGGGTTTGTGTACGGATGCTGGCGTGGATTAGAATGGAGTTTAGATGATGGAGCGTGGCCTTGGAGGAACTGAGACGACGCAGAGCGACGAGCCACTCTCGATTCTCGCGATACGTAATCGTTGTATACGCAAAGATGCTCGTCGAACGAGATGGATCGCGATCATTGCAGACTGGCTTGGATTGCTGGGGAGAGAGGGAAAAGGTGATGATGGAACAAGAGGGGGTGGCTTACGTGTGGAAGTCGGCGACGGTTGCGTTGTCGCCTTTTGGCAAGGGGATGAATTCATGGCCTGCGCCTTTGATGACGGTGAGGGGGACGAGGGTTCCAGACACTGATTTCACGATGCGCGTTAGTAATGCTGTGAGACCGCCAACCCGGGTTCCATCCCATCTGGGAGGAGGGTTGAACTTACTGTTTGATGCAAGTTCGTAGAATTCTTAGTAGTAGTAACGTCAATGTGATATTTGAGATGAAATTAGTCCAGAAAGCACATTATAAAGAACGAAGGTGATGTTGTTCGTGCTCCTTCCCCCACAATGTGTGGGATGCGATAGTTGCCCTAATCGGGTAAGCCGTGCCTGACTGCCCAGGTCAGGTAAGCCCCTCCATTGCACTTTCGACATAGGTACGTAATGAGCGCAACACTTGAACTGAAAGGAACATGCGTGGAAAGTGCGTACACTAGCTAGCGATGCGCTTTAGTATACCAGGCGAATATGACGACACCATTACTGCAACTCTCACGCAAAACATCCATCAAACTTCACGCCGTTCACAGACTCAAGAACAAGCATATCGAGTAAAAGAAACTCATAACCTCTATCTAACACCTCCCTAACCCTCCCACCCAGTCCACCCAACCAGTCTCCCATCAAGGTCTAGAGAGACAACCCGGGCCTGCACTCCCAGATCATCCTCTTTGCCCATCTGTTCGAAACCAGCCAGCTGGACCAGGCATTCCTGCATCATCACATCTCCATCTCATAAACTCGTGAAAAAACTCCCTCCACTCCAATTTTGAACTGATATTCGTACACAGAGAGAGAAAAAGAAGAAAAAAAGAGCCCAGGGCATAAACCATCAATCACTACTCTTCCTCTCATCTACCAAATGCTCATTCCTTCACCCCTCGCCTGAAAGGGTATAGTTCATATCCCGGTACACACATACACGCCCCTTCCTGCGCCTGCAATGCAAAGAAGATCGTAATATGTAATCATCGAAAGTGCGATAGTCGTGAGGTAAAGAGGCCGTTCGTTCGTTGTTTGTGACAGCGAGCGGGGTAAGTTTAGGCGAAGCCAAAGTACTCGCCACCAGCTGTCATAGCGGTGTAAAGGGCCTTGCGAAGATCTTCGTACGTCTCGTACTCAGGGAGGTCGAGTTCTGTCAGATTTGTTAGTATTGGGTTGAGACAAAGGGTAGGGGGTATAGCTTACGGTTGAAGCAAGTATGGCTAGATGGCAGACGATCCTTGCTGCCGTAATCGCGGTGGATATTGAACTTGGAGAAGCCGTTCATACCCTCGAGCTCCTTGAAACCATTGAGCGGCACCTTACTAGTACCGGTGACGAATTGAAGCAGCTTAGCTTGCTCTTCCTTCTCGAACGTTCGGACAGCGCGCCAGAACCACTGGATCTGTGGCGAGGCAGCTGTGTAGTTGTGGTACTCGGTGTTGTTCTTCCAGTCATCCACATTGATATCAGGCAGACCGGAAATGAGAAGTTCCAGCTCCTGTTCGCTAAAGATGGAGACGAGCTCCGCCGGAACGATATCGTGGAAGCCCTTGAGGAAGTTCTCGAGCTGCTCTTGGACGGCGCCTACAAGACGGTGCTCAGTGATGAGGCGGACGTACTCGTGCTTGTTATCTTCGGTAACGGGAATGTTACGGCCGTTTTCGATGAGGTCGACGGTTTGCATCTCTCCAAAGGCTTCGACTTCAACTGAGAAGGTTTCCGTTATAATATCCGTGATCTCGTTGTGAATCATCCATTCCAAGGACTTGTAGTACTCAAGGTCAAGCGTCTCCATATCCTTGAGACTGACCTGCTTGCCCATGATCTGCTTGTAGACCGCTCGGCTGAAATGGCAGTCGAGGACGCGGCCTTCGTAAAGTGCTTTGCCGATGATGCGACCAATGAATTTGAAGAACATCAGATGCTCAGGGTTGATCGAACTAAGGCGATTGGGGTGGAATGTCGTGCGGTCGGAAGCGACAGGTACAAAGAGAGCGTAGTCGGCGTTGAACATCTGTCGTGAGATGGACTGGAACCACTCGCGGGTAACACCACCAGCGTCAACACCTTCCTCACCGTGGAAGCGGATGCTGAGCTTGCCGAACTTCATCTCATCGGCAGACTTGAAGTACAGCGACTTGAAAGAGTCCAGGAAGACTTGGTCTCGACGAACAGAGAGCTGGAGAGGCTGGTGTTGTTGTCGGTCGCCACCTCGCGAATGAAGCTTTCGGTTGAAGTAGTTGCGCTTGTTGTCGAACTCCAGCACCTTGGAATTCTTCACCAAGAGAGAGAAAGTTCCGCTCATCAACTTAGGGTTTTGGCGTACAAGATCGTTGAGAATCTTGCGGTGCTCTTCAGTGAAGTTGAAGAACAAGTTCTCCATCCTGCTCTCAGGCGGTGGGCTAGACAAAGCGAACTCCTTGGGAAGCATCTTGGACAAAGGCATGTCCTTGAGTGTGGTGTTCTTGCAAACGACCATGAGACTCTCAATAAGCGGAAGCAGCGTGGTAGCAATGTTGAGCATGTTGCCGCGCTGGCGGATGACGGTGAGACATTCGCTGAGCTTTTCCCATAGTGGCGCGAAAGCAGAATCCTCGTATAGGGTTAAGAGGATGTCTTCCTTCTGAGCGGGCTCAAGTGCCTCTGCAGCGGCCTCAGGCTTGTCCTTGCTATCGCGCGACGGGTCGAAGAGGTAGTCGAGCGCCGTCAAGGCCCTCAGCAGCTTAGTTTGATCGGAGCTTGCTGGAGAGAACTTGGCAAGAGCGATGCCTTGGACGTCAGTAGGCGAGCTTGCCTTTGAAACTTGAACCGTCAAGCTCGCAAGATCCTGAAGTGTTGAGCTAGCAAGATCCTTGGCAATACCAAGTAATTCTTGACCGAAGATCTCTTTGGCACCTGGGATGGGCGAGAGGTTACTGATAACCGACAAAGTCTCCTGGAAGACCTTGCTGTTGCACTCCCGAGCAGCCAAAATCTTAGCGACGAGTCGAAGGTTGGCTTCAGGCACATCGGGTGGTGTGAGTGTGCGGTGCTTCTTCCTGTCCTCTTCTGCCTTTGACTCGTCAGGCTTGGAAGTACTGCCCTCGCCCTCAGTAGCGGTATCTGGCTGAGCAGCATTCTCAAGAGCAGTCGTCATTTCCGTATCTTGACCTTCTGGGCGAGCCTCCGTGGTTGTGGTATCAGCAGGCTCATTGTCAGTAGTCTGACCCTCTGCAGAGGCCTCTGCCTCCTTCTTTGCGTCTTCAGCAGCCTTCTCCTTCTCCTTCTTGAGGACTTGAAGTGGTGCCGTGATGACCTTGAGCAGTGATGTTAATTGCTCCATGATGGTAGAGCTCTCAACGATAAGCTTACGGTCCAGCAAGGTAAGGAGCGCATTGACTGGGTACTTGTTCGCCTTGCTTTCCTTGGCTTTGCCCTTGCGGTTGGCACGATTCTTGAAACCGACGCCAGTCTCATGCTCGGTCAGGAAGAACTGCCATACAGCAGGGTTCTTCTCCGTCAGCTGAGTAAGTGTGTTGAGGCATTGCTGAACGACCATGAGTGGAGAGACATCGGCGTTGATCGATAGAGCACCATTCTTGCGGGAGATCTTCGGAGTCTTGTCTGCTGGCTGCTGAGGCTGCTTTGCTCGGATAGACAACTGAGCAAAGCTCTTTTCAACTGCATTCACATCGGCGCTACCGTCTTGAAGAATGGAGAGCAGGATGCTAATGACCTCGGCACGGTTTTGACGGTTCTCGCATACATAGCGGAGGATGGAGCTCAAGCTACCCTTGGCGCTGCCCTGTTGTGGGATGAACATGAGCCTGAGGAGCGTGGCAACGCCTGCCTTGTCAAGCATTTGAACGCAAGGACGCGTCTTCTTCTTCTGTGAAGGGTCGTCTGGCTGCGCGCGGCGATCGCGTCTATAGCCGAAGTCGTTGAACTGGTGTAACCGGCGATCACCTCCCATTGCTCGAGCTTCCGCAGACATGTCAGGTGGAAGTTGGCGCAGTATGCTCTCATCGGTATCCATAAGTACAGCAGCTCGCAGATTGGGGTCCAGCGATGCGAAGAAGCTCGCAGGATCCATGTCTTCTGCCTGTGGAGGGGCGGCGCCAGCACTGCTTTGGTCGCGACGGCGGCGCTCTTCCCGCTCTCGGCGTCGACGCTCTTGCGCCTCCTGTGCAAGCAACTCATCTCGGATCTCTGGAGGAAGAGCAGCCAAGAAGTCTGGGTTGATGTCTGTAGGTGCCTCACCTGCTGGGCCTGCCTCCTCGGGCGCGGCCGGGGCTTGTGCTTGTGCCGGGGCTTGCGATTGTTGCTGCTCTTGTCGTCGCGCTTGAGCCCGTTGTTCGGCTCTACGTTCAGCTACCTGCTGCATCAAGACTTCCTCGCGCAGATCCTCGGGAAGAGCGTCTAGATACTCGGTGTCGATACCCAAGTCCGTAATGTCATACTCATGACCTCTGATCGTTGTTGTGACTCGCGGTGCTGGAGGAGCAGCAGGTTCCGCAGGCGCGGGCTCAGCCGCAGCGGAGGCTTCGGCGGGCGCTGACGAGGACTCTCCGACCTCAACGCCCTCCATGGCTTGCGCTTCAGGTGCAGTTTCGGCCTCAGTCTTTGGCTCGCTTTCTGCGGGTTCCTCTTGAGCTCGGCTCGCAGCCTCAGCAGCTTCACGTTCCTGTCGCTCACGATCCTCCTTCTCTTGTGCTTCGCGCTTCTCACGCTCTTCGCGCTCCTTCTGCTCTTTCTGTTCCTGCTCTTCCTTGAGTTTGCGTGCGACCTCAGCCTGGCGTTCTTCTAGACGCTTCTTCGCCGCTTCCATAGCAGGAGGAACCATGACCTTCAGGATGGAGTTGACCACGCGCTGGCTCTTCTCTATCGCGCCAGGACCGAATAGGATCCGGGCTTCTTCCTGCCAGCGCTGGCTGGTGTATGCCTTGACGAATGATACCGCAGAATGTGGGTCTTCGCGAGCAGTGCGTGATGTGTACGACTCTCGCATGCGAGCAATATCGCGTCGCATCCCGCTGTCGAAGGGTGGCATGCCCATGGGATTGGCGAAAGAGAGGTGCAATGCGCCTCCATGCTGGTGTATTGTCGGGCCGGTAGTAGAACTCATAGCGTTCAGTAGATTGCTGATGAACGAGACTGGGCTATCGGATTGGCTGAAGACGCGGGGACCACGCCCTTCAATAGCGTGAACCCAGTCGCTCTGGCCTTCGTTGCGCGGTAGACCATCTCGTCCAGCAGAGCGACCACCTCGCTGAAGCAAGGGGTTGATACCGTCGTCAGTAACACGAGGACCGGCACCTGGGCGATGCGAACGGTAAGCTGGTACAAGGATGCGATCACCCGGCCCTGCGGGGAACATCCATGGGCTGAGGCGGTGGGTGTGTCGAACGGCAGGGGCTTGAGCGTCTTCCCAGCTACCTCCCCACCCCATCTCGGGCATAGCATCGTCTTCATCCTCCATTCCAGGATCGTAGTGAATTTCTTCATCGTACTCCTCTTCTTCCTCGTCCATATCTAGTTGGGTTAGCGACCGTGATAAGCGTTCTATCCTATGAAGTAACGGACCTTCTTCCGCCATCTCGTCATCTAAGAAGTCTTCGAGATCTCCACCTTGTTGACGCATTTGTTCAAGAAGCTGAGGAGGATCAAGGACAAAGCCGAGCGCGCCAGGGCCCATGTTGCCCTCGCCGTTGGGACCACCTGGGAAGTCGTCCTGGTCATCGCTCCAGTCATCTTCTTGATCTTCAGCGAGACTGGCGTTTTCGTCATCACCAGTGACTTCCTCCATAGCATCCATGGCCTCATCCATGTCGTCCATATCGTCATCACCTCCATCGTCCATGTCATCCATGTCATCTTCGTCGTCATCCTCATCGTCTTCTGAATCATCATCAGAATTGTCGTCAGAATCGGAGCCCATTTGGTTGCCATCGTCGTCAACCTCGATCTCGACATCGATGTCGCCGGGGAGACCTTCGATAGGACCCATACCGTCAATGTCCATACCCATCTCCCCAAGGATCTCCTCATCGTCATCGGAAACAACATCGTCGTCACCGATATCAGCCTCGTCGTACTCCATATCATCCGCATAAGGATCGTCGTACATCATTTCCTCACCCTCGTCGTCTTCAGAATCTTCGTCAGATTCTGAGTCACCAGTTTCGAACATGCCGAGCGTCGAGTTGCGGAACAGATCAGGCGTCTCTTCACGTGTATTGTCAACGAGATCGTCGTCAGATGCTGTCGAGATCTCGTACTCGTCGGCGGAGTCTGGGGCTGAACCAGTATCATAGTGCATGCTCAGATCCATGGCTACGTAGCAAAGCCACTTCAAAGGCTTGAGAATGTACTTAACCACTCGCTTGGCGTTTGGGAAGTTGAGATCAATGTCCGAAATCGCTGTTGTCAGGATGGTGACAAAGTTCTTCTCGTACATAATCTTGGCCATCTGCTTCAGGTTGGGTGTCAGATCGGCGTTCTGAGTAAGCATCTCTCCATTGGGACGTTGCGACACCATCCTACTAAAGATGTCGGCGATGCTCAATAGACGAGAGTACTTCATGTCGAGTGGTTCATCCGAAGCGTTTGCATCCTTGAACGCCTTCAGAGCATGCTCAAGGACGAACTTGCGTACGAAAAGCAGGTCTGGCTCAGTTTCTGTGTATGGCGACACTGGTACGTCGGTTTTCGGCAGAACGAACTCTCCCGTTTTGTTGCACAGTGAAACGATGACGTCGATGGCGCAGTTTGATGTCGCCAGCTTCTTCTTGAAAGCGAGGTCGCCTTCATGGCTCAAGCTACCAATGGGCACCACGTTGTTGAGAAGGTAGTTCAGGACACCGGATCGAGGCTTTGATGGTGTCACAGTGTAAGGGTCTGCCTTTCTGGAGAAGTTGATGAACTCAATCTTCGTGCGGTTGTAGCTCTGCAGAAGCTCAGCGAGACACTTCAAGATGAAGCAGCGGTAGATGTAAATTGGGTGTGCTTCAGCCTTGAACACAGGCTTCTCGGGCTTAGCAGACTCTGTAGGTGCGGCGGCTGGGGTCGCAGTGGCAGCGTCCGAGCTCGACTCTTTGCTTGCCTGTCCTTCAGTTGCACCCTCTGCGGGCTTCTCTGCGAGCTCCTCGGTAGGCTTAGCGGGTTCAGGCTTATCTTCAGCCTCCTTGTAGGCTAGCAACTCGCAGAGAAGGTAATGGATAACACCATCGGGGTTCTCAACTACAGGCACCTTGAGATCTGAAGTCTTTGTTCGCTCAAGGAACGGCTGCTTAGGCGCTTCGCTAGACTCCTTGGGTTTATCGGCCTCAGCAGTAACCTCTGAAGACTCAACGACACTTGTTGGCTCAGTTGGCTCAGTCGGAGGTGGATCGGTCTTCTTGAGAACAAGAGTCTGCGGTCGCTGATTAGGATCGAATCCCTTAAGTTGAAGCTTCTCGTTGGTGACTTCCACGAAGATCTCAGGCGCACGAATGGCTAGCGCGTACATTTGGCGAGTGTAGCCAGTAGTGTCTGTCTGCCTTCGGTCGCGCGACTCAAACATCTGCTGAATCTCGGTACGCATAATCTGTCGAATCATCTCGTCGTCTTCAATCATGTGACGAAGCACAATCATGAAAGCGCTTCGGAGGCCCTCATTAGTGATACCAGCAAGCTGCTTTACCATGAGGAACAGACGTTGAATGTTGCGCTTCTCCGCAAGACGCGTGGCAATCTTACGCGTACGAGTAAGCATGGCTAGCACTCGTGTCACAGACAAAGCCAGCGACTCATCTTTGCCGATGCGAGGCAACATCTCGATGATTGCGTTGAAAAGCAGATCCTTCTCCTCCATACTGACGATAGGTTGCGGTAGATCGTCGACTGTGGTCTCTTCCTGGGACTCTTCTGTCGGCGGAGTCCATTGAACTTGATGCGGAAGTTGATCCTCAGCCAGTAGTCGTTCGACGATAAGCAAGACCTGGCCAATCCAAGGTGACGAATCCTCCGGAGACTGATCTGGGAAGATTTTGATGAAGCCCAACAAGGTAGTGAAGTGTTCCTTCAGCTGTTCGACAATAACGTCGTAGAAATCCTTTTCTTGAAGCACCAACGCTAGGAGATGGGCCGAAGCTGCTATCTTCTTGCTCTGGGTTCGGAAGTCATCTTCGCTCTGCAGCGACATGAGAGACTGCACAAGCATCATACCGATCTCGGCACGCATCTCGGGTGGGTCGGGCGCTTTCGAAACGGCGGCAATGATGAGATCTGCCAGCTCAAAGGTGACATCGTCGTGCGAGTTGAGCATGTCGAGACATCGATCAACGAGGTTCTGGCGGAGCTTGGCTCGCTGCTCATCCAGCTGGTCTATGGCAACGAGCTGGGTCGAATTGCCGTTAGCCATCCGCTTCTGATAAGCGAGAGCGTCCTGGGGCGCAGCAGGTGTTTGGCTTGACTGATCACCGGGTACAGGTGTAGTAGACGTAGGCGCATCTGCCTCTGCAGTCGAAGCCTCGGCATCTTCCATATGGACGGACTGTGTCTCCGGGTGTTCAGAACCATCTTCATCCCGCGTTACTTCGCTCCCTGTCATACTAGCATCGTCTGGGTGCTCGGGGACCACCACTTCAGCTCGACTTGGTGAAGCGGATGGCGGGCCTCGCGCTTGGATCTCATACTGTGGTATAGGATTTCTTGAGGCACTTGGACGGACTTGGTTCTTGCAGTACTCCTCCGCCATATTGAAGTTGTCGCAGCAACGATACAAGGCTTCTTCAGCAAGGCTCTCCTCGTATCCCTTGTCTTTCAAGCGTGGCAAGTGGTCTCCGTTTCGGGCAGTCCAAGGCTTGATTATGGGCTTGCTACGCTTTGGAATCTTGTCGATGCTCTTGTAAGCTCCATGCTCACCTTCGCATTCGAGAACAGATTTCAGTATGTTGACAGACGTCTTCACCAACGACGTAGTAGCCTTATCCATAAGATCAGAATTCCAGATCTTTTCCACAGGCACGATAACGGCGTAGCGTATTTCAACGAGGAACTGAGCAGTCAAGAAGTGATCAGCCCGCTCCCGATCGCGATCCGGCCGGGTTTGCATCGATGACGTCTGTGGCGACTCTGAGATGACTTTGAAGTTGATGATCTGGGAAAAGAAGGCCAGAATGATCTTGATACCTCCGAGAGAGAGGTTAAGCACTCGCTTTGACTCCTCACTAGTATCTTCTGCCTGCTTCTGGGTGATCTCAAGCGCCGATTCGTAGAACTGGTTGAGGATATTCGCCAGAACGTCGAATCCACCGAGGTTGCGGAAGGACACAAGCAACAGTGTCAACGCTTGCGATCGATCGAGGTTTACCTCTACGATAAGCTGTGATAGCGAAGTAAGAATGATGATCCAGTACGCATAGCGATCCTCAATGATCTCTGATTCCTTGGGACCTTCGTACTCGAGCTGGTCAATGACTGCCTGGGCAAGCTGGTCTGACACGACCGTTGCACATTGCCTTTGGTAAGCCTCAAGACTGCGGCGGAACAAGAGTAATTTGCCAAGCGACTGGAAGAACGGTGCGACTTCCATCGGTATCCTACTAAGTAGATTGCGGAGAGTTTGCGTGTTCTTGAACTGTGCACTGTTCTGGCTTGGAGCCGTAGTCTCGGAAGCTGATCCAGAGGCAGCAGCGTCTCCGTTGGCAGGTGGTTCGGTCGCACTGTTTCCAAGGCGGAACACGTTGTCGGCTTCATCGTTGCCGAAACCAGAACTGGTGATCCGCGTCTCCTTCTCCCACTCTGTGGGCATGTTGCGCTGGAGCAAAAGCTCTTCCCAAACACAGCTTCGGTGTAGCTTTCCGAGACTGTCCACGAGACGTGCGTACATGTCCGCAAGATTGACTTGACTGGAGACATTGTGAGAGGAACGGGTGGTGTACATCTGGCTCTGGAAGGTCAAGGTCATGGCTCCGACGAGGGTATGGGCCGACACTAGTGCTTTGACGTATTGTGTACCTTGCTGCATGTGCTCTGGACTCTGGGAAGTACCAGTGCTTGTGAAAGGTGCGAAAAAGGCTTGCTTGCCGGTGTGATCCAGGAGTGGTTGCAGGCGCTCCAAGGCCACTTGTGTCCGCTTGATCAGAGAAGGCACCGCAATATGGGGCTTCTGCTCAACGAGTACCTGGACGACATGGCCAAATTGCTCGCACATGCTGCGATACTCGCTTGCTTTTGGGTCTAAGCAAGCGAGACTTGAAATGTCAAGGATAGAATCTACACCATCAAGCTCGACGTACGCAGCGCACATGGCGTGGTTTGAGAAGAACCCAGAGAGAAAACGGCAGAGTACGCGGATGTACTGACCGGTGGTAGGGCCCTTGGTACTATCCTCAGTCTCGGTGATTTGACTGTAAGCGACTGGTTCATTAGCAGTCTCATCAGCATCTTTCATCTCCACATCAGTGCTTGTGGACCCTGATGCTTGAGCTGTACTTTGCTGCGAGCCTGATGCAGAAAGCGCTTGGCGGCCGCCTGCCACGGTGAGCTTTCCAGCAGCATCCTCGGTCCAGAGCTTGGCTCCTACACCTTCCTTCTCGGCCTTGTCGGCGCAAAGTTGGACCACACGCGCGATCAGCTCGCTTAGACAGGCAAGAACGCGTGCCTTGAGAGGCGGGTGATGGCGCACTAGCTCATCGAAAGAGTTTCCAATCAGGGTAGGCATCTCCGTATCAGCGTCAAGAGCTTTGATGTGAGCAGGGCTCTCGAAGATCTCGAAGAATCGCTGGAGGGCGGTCGATGACTGGAACAGCTTCATACCAGCTTCAGCCAAGCAGATACCGTCGAAGGCCGGGGGCAAGGTCGAGATGGCCTCAGCTACAGGCAAGATACCCTCGGCAAGTGGCTTTCCGCCCTCCCTAGGAGCGTAGGTCGTTGGTGTTGAAGCACTGGGGTCATTGTTGGCTGCAGCCGTCGATTCCGAAGCAGGCTCTCCCGCGACTGTCTCCAAGAACGCATCGCTAAGACCTGCCTCGGCGATGACTTGGTAGCTAGTGGGTTCATTGTTGATGAAGCTGGTAAGGATCGTGACAGCCATGCTCCAAACAGTTGAGCCGAACGTCTTGGCGTTTGATAGCACAGTGCGCAAGCTGCTGAGCAGCTGTTGTGAGTCAAGCAAGTTTCGCATCAAACGATCGAAGTTTCCGCCTGTATGCGACATCATGTGGTTGAGGAACTTGAAAAGCCAGCGTAGACTCTGCTGGTGATAGAACGGAATTTGATAATCAGTAAGCTGAGTCTTGTACTCCTTGGGCATGCCCTTGTCCTCCTCTGCGAGCTTCTTGGAGGTGTCGACCTCGTATTGCATCAGATCAGCAATGATTTCGAGCCCCTTCGCAGCCACGAGGGCTGAGAAGGCGTCTCGCAGGTTGTACACAAAGGTATCAAGGAAGTTTAGGATCTTGGGGTGGTTGCGCTCTGCCTTTGCTGTACGCAGCTTGAGGACATCGACAAGAATTTCCAGGAGCCCCGCAGCCACCATCTGCTCACCAGTGCGTGTTTGAGACGTCGGCAGAGTGTTCAGCAGAGAGAACAAAGCGTCGCGCCACTCGTCCTCCTCGATATCATCCGGGTTACCAGTTTCCTCGCCAAGGCCAGCGACCAGCTTGCGCACAACGTAGAACAACACACCGTGGTTGACGTTGACACTAAGGGCGGTGCAAACATCAGCCGCTTTAGACTTGTGCTTTGCAAGGGCCTCGAGCGCGCTCATGGTATATGTCTGCAGCTCCATCGAAATGCCAGTCTCGCCGTTTCCAGGCGGATGGACGAGCTCAGAGAGTTGGTAGGCAAGTTGCAACCGGCGTGGTTCGTCTGCATCTTGCTGTCCCAGCTTGGCCATGAACTCCTTTTCGACGTGTACGTAACCGATGTTCGCAATGGACAGTAGGCGGATGGCAACTGCACTGTCGCGCCCTGTGCGTCCCTCGTTGAACATCTTTGCGATGCGGAGCTTGTGGAGGAATTCGTAGTGCACCGTCTCCGGTAGACTTGCGAGTCCTTCCTTTATGAGGTCGTGTATGTCGGTCTTGTGTACCTTGTCCGCTGACAGCTGGAAAGTTTTGGGCCCGTTCGTTGTATTACTGGGCTGTCCGGGAGTGAAGGCGGGTGTGCTCGGCGAATCGGTAGCGGGTGTAGGCTGGGGCTGTCTCGGTGTTCGGTTGGGTCCCATGCTGGACGTCCTCCGTACGGGAGTCGGCGTGGTGGGCGCGGGTGCCTCTGTAGATGCCTGCTTGCCGCTCTCTGCTTCGGACGAGGGGGTGGGCTCATAGTACGAGATGAGGACGCCTCCGAACTCCTGCTTCATCGATGACTCGGACAGAGAATACAGAGCGACTAGGTCGGACGGACTGACCTTATCAGTGCTGCCAGCGCGGTCCTTGCCCTTGCCTGCTGGAGTGCCAAAGACAGGGACGGCTGTCGCGGGGCCCTTCGCGAATGGGCTAGCCAGCTTCTGGACCTTGTCGAGGTTGATGTTGTAGTGGCTGGAGAGAAGGGACGGGTGCAGGGTGGCCGGGGCCAAGCGCATGCGTGCAGCAGCATAGCGCTGAGCGAGGCGATGGCCTAGACGAAGCGTGGCCTTGAGGAGGGATGTGGAGGTCGTGTTGAGCAGCTTGTCCAGGCGCTCACTGCTGGAATACAGACTACGGTTCCCGCAGTTCTCCAAGAGCATCCGCGTGAAGTTGAGGATCTGCTCGACCAGCTCGCGATCGCCATCTCGGGATACGTGCAGGGTATCCAGGACGGCATCGGTCGTGGTTTGCTCGGAGCTGGTGCTTCCTTCCTCGGCATCGCCCTTGAGCAGCAGCCGGCGCTGGAAGGCCTGTGTCTGGGGCCCGTCTACCAGGCCATATTCCTTGTTGAAGAGCTCGAGGATGTGGTCGAAGCGGTTCAGGGCGGGGATCCAGTGGTATGCGTCACCGCGGGGAAAGGGCCAGTGCCTGGGGAACGAGGCGAGATGTGCGGGCAGCTGGAACAGCGGTATTGACTCGGTCGCCTTCACAAAGTCTGCTATCATCGGCGACTACGCGCTGTGTTAGCAGTGGCAAGGGCGGGGAGCGCGGGGAGCTGCAGCTTACCAGAGTCGACTCATGTCGCGATGTAGCCTGTTTCTTGATCTTCATGTTTGCGCCGGGCGCTCGGAAGACGAAGCTTGCTCACATGCAAGCTCTATGAAGCCGGTGTCGAGCGAGCAGTGGTTGCGTGTAGGCGGTCGGATAGCACGGCGCCGTGTCCGTGGCGTGAGAGGATGTCTAGAGGCAGGCTGCGATTGCCTTTACCGGAAGCGCAGAAACCCAAAGTGGCTGCGGCTTTAGTGGAGCAAAAAGCGGGGTCGTGATGATGTATGTCGTCGGTGGGTCTGCACACAAAGGCGGTCGCCGCGAAATGTTGCGATGGCTACAAGCGGGCGGGTTGGCGGAGAAGAGGCGTGGGTGGTGGGTTGCTGGTAGATTCCACGGTGCAGGCGTGGATCTTGGGCAGCTAGTTGGGGGCGTTGTGGCAGGGTGCAGGTGCCGGCCGTGAAATAGCGGGAGCCTCTGTGTCGGCAGGCGGGTGGTGGGTGAGGTGAAGGTGTTGTTGGAGCTCCAGCTACGAGCACCGCAAGTAGCAGTTTCCGCAATCATGGAGACGTGGTCCGTGCCCGCTGATCCAAGCTTAGAGCGTCACGAAAGCGACGCGCTGTCGTCACTCTCTTTGCAGACGCTGAAAACACGGTATCACGATTACGGTTGCGCTGGGCCGTTGGGGCGCTCGTACGTTAATTCATGGGTCGATTACACTGACGTCTGTCGTCCCAGATATCCCCGATAGCAGGCATGCCACCATCTCACCACCGCAAGGCAGCACATACCTGGGTATGCAATCCGGAGACTTGATAACAATATTATATATTACTCAACAGCACTTCATCATCCATAACACGACCGTCGCCGTACATTCCTTGCCATGTCTTGGTATCATCTACCAACCCCCCGTCCCACTCGCCGACTCCTCCCTCTCCCTCCCCTTCCCATCCACCAACCTAACCGTCTCCTCCAACACCAGCAAATCCCTCTCAATCATCTCCGCCCAGTTCTGAATATCCCCCACCTCATTCAACTTCTTCGTGCCGCCCTGAAGCAGTTTATCCCACTCGGCAGTCTGTTTCGCCAGCGCCGCCGTCTGCTTCGCTAGCTCCTTTTCCTGCTTTGCGATTGCCGCAGAGTTGGCGTGCAGGTCGGCGGTGCGCGTGCGCATCTCGTTGTCGACGGATGCGCCGACGCTGGCGAGGGATGCGGTGACGGCTGCGCGCGCTTCGGTTTGGCGGCGCTGGGCTTCTTCGGGCGTGGGTGGTGGGGAGGGCATGGTGGGCGTGTCGTGTTTGGTATTGTCTGAGAGACGGTGTTTAAAGGATTTCGCGTTGGTAAGTAGTGTAGTAGTTCGTCTTCATATGGTAGAGGTAGGAGAGTGTATGGGCTCGAATGGTCCGCACAGCTACTCTCCCAGCGAATGATCGTCCGCGAGCTACTGCGTAACTCCACCATAGTGGCAGACTACCTAGTCTCGCTTCGGCTCTTCTTGGTATGCTGCGTAACATGGTGATTGGCGATTTGCGTCTTCTGCCGGCGCCGTTGGAGGCCGCTTCTGGCTCACTGCGTGATGGTGTAACGGGGCTTGATGTGAATGGCCGGAGGATATGCTCAATCTATGGTTACGACTAGCATCAGGGCAATCCCTAATCCCGTACCTTTGTCTGCATCTTGTACACGTGTACAAGGCTAGTATGCATGTCGTACGGCGTGACCATGGAATTCTACGACTGGGCGGCGGGGCGTCAGTTGTCGGCAGCGATTTAGTTTGATAGTACAGTGAACATTGCCTTGACACAGATATTCTCTCGTTTCTAGGATGAGAATGTTGGATATCTTTGTTCGTGCGCCTTTAGGCTCGGAGTATGATATGCGCTTGGTATTGATGTCATCCAGGTACCGTGAGCTTCTCAAGCTGCAAGTTTAACAAACACATGTCTAAGGGATTCTGAAAAGCAAAAGGGCACAATGGAACTGCCACGCATTGAGGGTTGTCGCTTGTGTCGCCTTCTCATAAAAATGGTGGCTGAAGCCTGAGTCGTTGCGGCGATTTATCAAAGCGGGGCAGTCAGCGGGGAGCATTCGGGGCTGTCGGGGCAAGCGACGGTGCCACAATCAACACCTTATCGTAACTTGCCTATCCGGGCAGCGTAGTCATCATTATCAAAGATCATGAATGTCGGAAAGGTAGAACTTGTCTGGGCCCAATTCAATCAAATTCGTAAGAGAACACTACAATCCAAGAAAAAAAGATAAAAGAAAGTAAAGAAAGGTCGTAAAAAAGTCCCCAAGTGATCCAGCCACACATGTATCCAGCCCCAAATTCCCATCTAGGCAATCCCCAAATCAACGCTTAAGCCTCAATCTCCTGAGCAGCCTGCTTAATCGCCTCCTGCATCTCAGCGTCCATCTTTGCAGCCTGCGCCTGCAACTCAGCGTCCCCAGCCATCTGCTCCGCCTCCCTCTTCGCATTCCTCGCCTTGATCTTCGCCTGCACACCCTTAATCTGCTGCACAAGGAAAGCCACGCCCTCATCCGCGCGGACACCATATGTCAAGTGCGCAGGCAGCACGCTCAGCGTACCGAGGCAAACAGCATCGCCAGGCTGGCAAATGATCTTGACCTTCTCCTTGGGGAAGTTGGGGATCTGGTCCCTGTCCTGCAGCTTCTGGGTGTCGCCGTAAGTGACGACACCGGCGATTTGCTGCATGACGGCGGGGTCGAGGCCTTCGATGGCGCGGTGGCAGACGGCTGCGCCTTGGGAGTAGCCTGAAGCGACGATGACGGAGTCGGGGCATTTCTGCGCCATGCTGTTGAGGGTGTCGGCCATCATGTTCTTGGAGCGGGTGTCGGTGCCGCCGGGGAGGACGTTGGTGCCGATGGAGGCGGCGTAGGGGATTCCCTCGGTCGCGACGGCGTCGGCTCCGAATTCTTTCTTGAGGCCGTTCGAGGTGGGCGGTCCGACGACGGTTCCCATGTTGCCGATCTCCGTGGAGCCACGGGCAAAGGCGAAGAGGACGTCTTTGCAGCCGCCGCGGCTGAACTCGCTCGAGCTGGATCCTGTGCCTCCGATTCCACCGCCAAAGAGCTGGCGGCTCTCGATTTCGATGGGGCCGGCGGAAGCAAAGCTGGCAAGGGCGGCGATGAGGACGGATTTGGCGTACATGTCGTTGACTGGTGGATGGATAGGGGGAAGTGGGATGAAAGTTGAATCTGCTATTGACAAGAAGATAGAGAAGAAGCGAAGAAGGTAGTAGCGAATGAAGCACCGGGCCTGTGAACTGTAGTGTTGATGACAGTGTTGACTGATGATGATCTCCAACTGAAGCCGGCGTCCTACCTTCTTATAATCCCAAGATGTTCGGCCAGGCATATGGCCAAGCTCAATCTACCCATGACGACGATCAAGTCGAGAAGACAGGGCATAGTGCCAGGCACCGCCAAGGTATCAGTGGGCTCATCGATGAAGTGGAAACAACCGGTAACTAAGATCACAGCCGAGGAAGGTGTTCGTCGACTCGACACTGGATTGGCCAGCTCTGCATCGCTGTATTGCAAGGACAACAAGCCCCAGTCATGCGACTGCTACCAAGTACTGCCAAGTAGGTTGAGTTCTCATGAGAGTCATGGTGGAGATGGGGTACGGAGGAATACCAGTCCCACTTCGAGCCTCCTCGACTCGAACAACCTGTACGGTCAACCACTCAGGACCTTCAGGTGATCCGACTACCGAAAAAGCACTATCATCATTCATGCGCTTGGACTTTACTTTTTAGTCACCCCGGCTGATCTTGCTACAGGGCAGTGCCTCACGCGAGGATGTTCCTAGTGTGTCCGCAACGTGCCCGCCGTGCCTCGGTACGCTGTGAACTCTGCTGGGAATCATTGGCCATAGTGACGTCCGTCTCCGAGCTGTCAGTGTAGGAGGTTGAGCTGACAAGAAAACGGCTGTCTCGAAAAGGCGGAATGACTTCATCGCAAGCAATGCGAGGAAAACTCTCGAAATAAGATGCGATTGGGCAGTCTGCGGATGGAGGTATTTCTGCATGATAATGCGGTTTTGCATATAGCAAAGTTCCTGTTCGTTGTCAAGAACGCTTCCAAACGCAAATAAGCTTTCGCATATTTACTGCCGTTGCTGGTATAGGGCTGATCGACGTCACGGGAGCGTCCCGTTATGGACCGTGTGCTATTTTAAATTCGCCTGACGCTCTTAGCTGTTTCAACACCCAACGTGATACAAAAAGCAAGCGCACCAAAGATGGCCAAACGCTGGCAACGCCAGCACCGCAAGTTGACCGTTGTGAACGGAATGCGCCGCACATGGAAGCCATGCCTTCTTGCCTTTGACTGCGACGTCTGGTGACGTTGAAAATCTTTTCGCAAAGGTACTCCAATAGATGGATGTGTTTAGTGTGCGCGATGCTGGCAGACTGGGCATGTAAGACGAGCTTCGCCTCCACCCACGGCAATCTGCTGTCAGGATGCTGCAGGCGATGTTGATGCAATCTGTCCAAAGGGTACTAGCCATCGCAACACCCTTGGTGCACGACTCTATACCCTGCTTCATCCTGCGGACGCCAAAAACGAACAGTTCTTGGAAGCAAAAGAAGCAGGTACAGCATCAGCCACTGCAGGGTGTTGCCGTTGTTGAGGATCTTGGATCTTGCGATCGATGCTTCCATGATCTTTCTGCAACCCCATTCATCCGCATCACCTGCCCGCGCTGGATGACTCGCAAGGAAGGCGCGATCGTTTTAACCTTACGCCTGGTATTAACCGTTGAGTCGATGAGTCGCTGAGTCGCTCCAACCCTGAGCTTCTGGCAATATGACTCGGAGGGAAAACGGCATTGATTGTGATGAACATGTCGATGCTCGCGTTCGCTTTTCCAGACTGTTCATCTCGCTAAGTGCGGGGCGCCGTTATTCACTCTAGGCCTGCAGCCGGGTCGGGTCGACATTGACATTGCACAATCTTCGTTATCAGATCTATTGCGGTCAGTGCCGGGGGTTGGAGTCATTCGAGAGTTGTTGTAAGAAGGTTGTTGGAGGAAGACGATGGTGCCACGTGGGTGCCAGAGGCGGAAAGTTAGAATAACGACATCAACCGGCGCGCGGTGGTCAAAGCGCGCCGTCCGGCAAACCTTGTGCGATGCGCCTTGACGGCGAGGAACATACACCTCTACGATGCATACGTGTAACCTGTGGACAGAAACATGGACTCTATCGACCTCGGAATGACCGATACGAAGCAACCAACCTTGCGGAACAGGGATGCTTTCCGACGGAAACCATCCCACTCCCAAGCCTCCCGAGGTCGCGATAACGATAACGTATGATTGGGCGGAACGCATCAACTCCCAAGAAAGATACATCTACGCAGCAAAGACCTATACAAGTCTCAATCCGGACTCGAAAGGAACAAGAGAATAATTCCAAACTCCAAAATGCACGACCCCGTCGCCTCAGCAAAAGCCCAAGAAGCAACCCACCAATACACCTTCCGCCCCGCAACCCCCGCCGACATACCCTCCCTGCAATCCATGATCGCATCCTCACTCCGCAGCTTGGGAAAAGGATACTACACAGACGCCGAGCTCGACGGCTCAATAGGCTACCTCTTCGGTCCAGATTCCGTTCTCATCAAAGACCAGTACGTATAATTCCAATCATAATTAATGAGATGAGAATAAGGCGTCCGTCATCACCTGTCATCAAGCATTATCCATTTGCGGAAGAGAGGGGAGGGGGAATATGTACCCCTCTTCTCCACACTGCGTTGCCAAAGACCAGATCCAGAAACCTGGGTAGTGGAAGGGAAGGAGGGGGGGAATTAAAGGGTAGCAAAGTTGATGATTTCGCAAACAGAACATACTACATCCTCCACCCCCTCAACGCACCCCTCACAATCTGCGCCTGCGGCGGCTGGTCCTTCCGCAAAACACTGTACGGCGGGGACTCCGCGCCCTCCCCGTTGCGCATGCCAGAGAAACGCGATCCAGCCGTTGACCGCGCGAGCATACGAGCAATCTTCACGAGTCCGCAGTATGCGCGGAAGGGCCTGGGCACGATGATGATGCGGTATTGTGAGGCGAGGGCGAGGGAAGGGAAGGTCGGTGAGACGGAAGGGTTTAAGAGGCTGGAGATGGGGGCGACGCTTAGTGGAGTGCAGTTGTATGAGAGGTGTGGGTATGTGAGGAGTGGGAGGGTGGATGTGGTAACGTGTCCGAATGGAGAGGGGATTCAGATTTTGCATATGACTAAGGATTTGGAT